TACCAAATGTAGATGGAAAAATGTATGCGTGAAGACAGTGTGTTCCGCCCCCCCTTCGGGGGGGCTCCACTTCGTTAAAAATAACCCTACCCACCCTATGTCAGAGGTGTGGAGTGGATCTCGCTTCACGTGGAAAGTTGCAAACCCATGTGGAACAGTACAACAGCGGAAGTACATGCGTGGAGACAGTATGTTCCGCCCCCCCTGCGGGGGGGCTCCACTTTGTTAAGATATAACCTAACCCAAACTACGTCCGAGGTGTGGAGTGGTATACTTTCCAGTATTATTGAGACGATAGCGTACATAAGGGCAAGTACATTTCACGTACACACAAGATCGATTAAGCAATATTATTCTTCTTTTTTCCGAAAGAGAACATGGCCAATCGAATTAAATTACTTATACAAAAGCGTACGTCGTTAAAGGCGCAAATTACTAATTTGATAAGCTTTATTGAAAAGGAGAGCTTCGATAGAACTGCGTTAAAATTGCGCACGGCTCGCGTCACCGAATTGTACCACGCATACGAGGATTACAACGACGAACTAATTATATTAGATTCGAACGACAGTCACAAAGATGAATTCACAAATATTCAAGAAAGATTTTATATGATTGCCGGTAAAATCGAAGAGTTACTAAATTCGACACGGTCCACCGCGTCTACCGATACCACGGCGAACGAGACTCAGCAGAGCAATGCCGTGTCCGATACGTTAGCGAAGCGGCGAGTGAAACTACCGGAAGCCTCTTTACCAAAATTCGAGGATCGCTTCGAGAATTGGTTATCGTTCAAAAATTCTTTTCTCGCGATGATTGATTCGCGAACAGATCTTTCCGACGTGGACACACTTCAATATTTAAAATCGTCTTTAACGGATGAAGCGGCCAATAAAATAAAATTGTTACCGATCGACAACTCAAGTTACAATAAAGCAGGGGAATTATTAACGTGCGTCTACGAAGTGAAACGCGTTCTCATCTCTCGTCATCTCTCGTTACTACTAAATATGCCCACCGTAGAAAAAGAATCTACCGAGTGTTTATCGAAGCTTGCCGACGACGCGCAACAACATGTCGCTTCATTGGCCGCGTTGGGAGTTAATGTAGGATCGGAGGTGCTGGTTAATATTGTAGAGAGCCGATTACCTAGGCGTATCGCGGATAAATGGGAAGAAACATTAGATCGGGACGAATTTCCCAAAATTGACGATCTGTTTGAGTTCTTATATAGAACTGCGGTACGATTATCTAAGCGCACACGTTCGGGATCGGTTAAACAAGATGACGATAAGCTTTCTCCTCCGGCAAAGAAGGGGAAAATTCTGAATAAAACATTCATGATCAATACGTTCGATAATTTTGGCTTTCAGGCTTTCGCGGCTGTTGTCTTCTTTAGTCTTCATGGCTTCCGGATGGTTGCCGCGTCCGTTTGCAGTGTGGTGCCGACGTTTCGCAGGCGTTGCAGTCTGCTTCATCAGGGCTGGGAGACTTTGATACTGAGCTCCCTCGCGTTGCGCTCGTCCTTTTATACTCGTTCCTGGGGGGAAGGGAGGGGGTCGGCACCACACTGCAAACGGACGCGGCAACCATCCGGAAGCCATGAAGACGTTCGATAATTGTAAGGTGTGCAAAACTAAACAGCATCCATTATTCAAATGTGAGAAATTCAAACAAATGACCGTACCTAAACGCATCGAATTCGTAAAGAACGCGAGACTTTGTTACAATTGTCTACGCTCACATTTAGGTAAAGCCTGTAATTACTCTACTTGCACCGTTTGCCACAAACGTCACAATACACTTTTACATTTAAATAGAAGCGCAGCCGCATCTGCAATGGCCATTACGACTGACAATAAAGGCGCGCCAGTGAATGACTAGTGACAGAAAGGGAATGTATAACGACATGCTTGGCTATAATTTCACTAGACTTCACTCCACAATTAATGACAACCGCGGTTGTTCTTGTGCAGGATCGTGATCACAATCTAATTAAGGGGAGAGCCTTATTGGACACGTGCGCTTCCACCAATTTTATTTCCGAAAATTTCATGAAACGTTTAAAACTTCCTGTAAGTCCATGCGCCATACAAATCGGCGCTATCAATGCAATAAACACCACATCAAAGGGCACCGGGCATGTCACGATTCAATCTCTATACAACGGTTTTCGTAAACGCCTGCCATGTTTATTGGTTCTAATGATCGCTGATTTAGTTCCGTCCGAGGTGTTTTCCTGAGAAATCATAAATATACCGCCAAACATTAAATTGGCCGACCCCGAGTTTCATTTACCACAACCGATTGATTTTCTGATTGGTCCTGGCTCGACGTTATCATTATTCTCCATCGGCCAAATCGATTTGTCTACAATAACTAATGATTTATATTTACAAAAAAACTCGTCTGGGTTGGATCGTCGCAGGTGGGGTGACTACACCGAACCGTTCAAACAAGGCAATGTGTCGATTAACTAACTTAGAACAGCAAATCGCGCAATTCTGGAAAATCGAGGAAGTATCCGTCGGTACATTGAAATCCATTGAAGAACTCGAGTGCGAAGCTCATTACAAAAAACACGTAACACGTCATCCTAGCGGACGATATATCGTACGATTGCCCTTTCGCGAGCGCGATTGGCACCTCGGAGATTCGCGAACCGCGACTCTCGAGCGCTTAAATTCCCTCGAACGACGACTTAACTCAGATCCGACTTTGAAGACGGCTTACTCACAAGTACTACAGGAATACGTTTTAAAGGAAATGACCTTGATACATGACTCTTTGCATAGTGGATTTTACATGCTACACCATCCAGTAATTAAAGCTTCGAGCAACACCACCAAGGTCCGTGTAGTTTTTGACGCGTCGGCGAAAGCGAATAACGGTGTTTCGTTGAATGATCTGCTCATGGTAGGACCGACCCTCCAAGACTCGTTGTTTACTCACTTGATTCGATTCCGTACATATAAATATGTCCTTACCGCTGACATAGAAAAAATGTATCGGCAGATATTGTTACACGAGGATGATAGGATATATCAACGTATACTTTGGCGTCAAAACGATCAAATACAAACCTTACAACTTAATACACTTACGTTCGTGTTGGATTCTTCGCAGAGTTTTGATCAGGTCTTGTAATGAAAAGTCGTCTTCGCTCAAAATCCTTTTCTTTATTATATCGTCGTCAAGCAACAACAACCATACACACACACACCTCTCTTGTTTTTCGGAACCGAATCCCGACTCTTGCTCGTTGCTATCCGAGAGAGGGATAGGCGCTCTCCCTAGCGGCAGTGTCGATGAAGCATAGAAACCTCTGCTTCTCAACACTCCCTCCCTTCATTGACAATGCCCAGATTCATTACCCTCTAATCTTACAAGTCTATACATGAATAAAACTCTAAATAACTTGCTTAAGTATTTCATCAGTCTATGTTCTAAGTACATATATAATTCAATGCGTACAATCGGCGAACTTATGTAAAAATGAACAAAACAAAACATGTCATATTTGTAGTAACAAAACAAAAAAAAGCGCCCTTTTGGTTAGCGTAATTCTCATCATGACATAACTCCTATTATTTAACTCTGTGGCCGAAAGTCGTCGAATTCCTCTCTCTGGTTTTCCAGTCCTCTACTTATCTGTTAAAATAATAAAATTCAGTTAAATTAATTTTTTTTAAATAGTTTTACACTTCTAACTTATTTTAAGGTTCATCATCTTGTCTCTAAAATATTTGTGTGCTTCTATAGGAAGCGGCTTTGTCATTATATCCGCTATGTTTTCTTTCGTGGAGATCCATTTAACTCTGATTTTTCCTGTCTCTACACATGATTTAACATAATCCCCGTGAGTATCAGCTATATGTCTCTTACTTCCTATTCTTTCTCGTTCTTCTAAATTCTCAACAATAACGTCTAAAGTATCATCGAAATTTTTGAGTTTGTGACTCCCATCCTTTTGTGTACAGTCTCCAGCTGACTTGTTGTCACACCAGATTTGTGCTGGGTAGAAGGTTTTTCCCGTTATGTCTCTAATTGCTTTGTCTAGAGATACCATCTCCTGACAAGCTTCACTCATGGCTAAGTATTCAGCCTGGCATGTTGACAGAGTGATATAGGATTGCTTGTGACTTCTCCAAGCCATTGGATCTCCAAATAGTTTGATCACATATCCACTTGTAGAGGTGGAATCATTCCAATCTCTAAAGCTGGCATCTGTCATTGCTTCTAAATCTTCGGACTTTGCTCTATATATCAACCCAACATCTGAGGTTCCTCTGATATATCTAAATACTCTTTTAACATCTCTCCAGTCACTTTCAGTCGGATTCTGTTGCTTTCTTGCAAGGTAATTAACTGCGAAGGCTATGTCTGGCCTTGTGGCCACTGTCAGATACATTAAACTTCCAATTGCCTCTCTAAATGGAACATTGCCCTTTTTCTCTAAATCGCTTAGTTTTGAGTTTTCATCTTTCTTTCGGTCTTCTCTATTCATCACTTGTCTTGTCACCATTGGTGTACTTTGCGGTTTGCTTTCTTTCATGTTGAATCTCTCTAATATTTTCTCTATATAATTTGACTGTTGTATCGTCATTGTTCTGTTTCCTCTATCTCTTCGAATTGTCAGCCCTAAGAAATTCTTGGGTTCTCCGAGGTCTTTCATATCAAAAGCCTCGCTTAGTCTTGTCTTTATTTCCATCAGCTTATCCTTGTCATTGCTTGCTACTAACATATCATCTACATATAATACTAATACAGCCATTTTTCCTTCCTTTCTCCATGTGAATAAACAAGGTTCATGTAAATCATTTTCTAAACCTACTTTTATTGCTTCTTCTGCAAATCGTTTGTTCCATCTCTTCGGACTAATTTTCACCCCATACAGTGCCTTCTCTAATTTACACACTTTTGTTTTTCTAGTTTCTTCATCACACTGTAGTCCATCTGGAATCTCCATATAAATTTCTTCTTCTAAAATACCATTCAGAAAAGCAGTCTTTACATCCGTTTGACTTGGCTCCAAATTGTATTTATTTATTATAGCCAGCACTGATCGAATCACTGATAATCTCGACACTGGAGCGTATGTCTCTTTAAGTTCGTACTCATTTCTATCTTTGAATCCTCTAATTACTAGTCGAGCCTTGAATTTTGTTAATCCTTCTTCTCTCAATTTCCTTTTAAATATCCATCTAGAATCTATAATATTTACTCTTCTCCCGTCACTCATGATCTCTGGTCTCTTTACTAATTTCCATACTTTATTGTCGTCCATCGTCTTCAATTCTTCTCTGACTGCTTCCATCCACTCTAGTTTATCTGCTGTTGACATTGCCTCGCTGTACGACACAGGATCATTGTTTACGATGGCAATCTGTGCATATTTCAATTCGTCTTCTTCTAAATTTTTATTTAATGAGCTTTCTTCCACATAGTCTTTAAATTGACCTTTTGTAACTTCTAGTTTGGCAGCATACTTTGCAATGCCCGAGTCATTCACTATTGATTCATCTGAACAGTTTATTTTTCGTGCTGAAACTTTCTTGTCCTTTTTGTATTTTGCCGTTCTCATGGGTTGTTTGCGCTTCTTGGATTCTGTTTCTTCGTTTTCTTCTTGCTCTAATTTGCTTTTTCGTGGCCTTCCTCTTTTTCTTTTGTTTATTGTTGTCTCTATATTTTCTGACTCTAATTTTGTAACATCTTCTAATTCTTTCATCCACTTTTCATCTTCTAGATTTTTCGTGTTTTCGTGTTTCTCTAGATTTCCTTCTGAATTGTATGTGTTTCTTCTAAACGCATCTCGATACGTTAATTTTTCATTGAACTGTACATGTCGTGACTCTAAGAATTTTCTTGAACTAGGATGCCACAAAATATATCCTGTTTTTGTGTAGCCGACAAGAACTGCCTTAATCGCTCTTTATGAAAACTTTGTAACCGCTTTAGGAATCCTAGCGTAAGCTACGCAACCGAATCTTCTAAGTTTATCGAAATGACAATTAGTCTGAGGTGCAAATTTCTTGAGCGGCACCTCAAATTCTATAGATTTATGAGGAGTGCGATTGTAGGCATGTATCGCTGTCTCTACCGCCAGCTTCCACATGCTCTTAGGTAAACCTGAATCAAACATGATTGCTCTAACTCTTTCTTGTAATGTTTTATTAAATCTCTCGGCTGTGCCATTATGTTCTGGTGTATATGGTGGCGACAGGTCACTCTCTATACCCTCTCTTTCCATAATTTCTAAGAATTTTCCTCCTGTGTATTCTGTGCCTTGATCTGATCTGATATAACATACTTTCTCATTTCTTCCAAGTATATTTCTTGTAGACCTCAGAAACCTCTCTAAGTAATACCCTGTTTCATCTTTGGACTTCATCGTATATGCTCTAGCTAACCTTGTGTAATCATCTATAAACACAGTGATAAACCGTTTACCTCCTGGGTATGATACCGGTTTTATAGGACCCATAGTATCCGTGTGAATTATTTGGAGCGTCCTAACAGCGTGACTCCTTTTATCTTTAAAAGGTAATCTTTCCATTTTAGCCATGACGCATACTTCACAATCTCGTACGGAATCATCAAACTGTACGTCTTTTAATCTTTCCTCTAATTTTTGCAGACGTCTCAAGTAATCTAATGATACGTGACCCAAACGAACGTGCCATAGCATTGCCTTATTTTGTTTGTATTTTGTTTTGTGAACTTGACCTGTTCATTTTCGAGTGGGTTTGCTGTACAAATATCTCTAATTGTGTCAATGGCTTCTTGTTAGCGATTCTCTCTCGGAGAGCTCGCTGGACCGCTGCGGTTGGAAGCAGGGCTGAGAGGACTTTGCGTTGAGAGGCTCCGGGAACGGATGTACGCGTTACAGGGTGACAAATCACGTGATCGTAACTCAGTTCGTGTTGAGTAAAATACCGTGGTCTGTTTAATAAATATAAAAGCTTACAGTTTGAGCAGTCTATGATTTAACGGGGATGATCAGTCTCTTAGTCACTTGCACGGGTCGATTATATTAATCGATATAGCCGGCCTCGTGAATGTGGATGCCCGTGAGCCGTGTCCACGCAACGCCGGCGTGCGATGCGTGGTGAGCTTGAGCCGCCGGTGATGCTGTATCCCGAGCTGTTCTGGTTGAGTCGCACTGCTGAGTTCACTACGTGTCCGCACTGAGTCTATTCTTTTATGAGAAAAGTCTACGAGAGTACACTAAGATCTTAAGCACTACAAGACACTTGTACGTTGTACGGTTGCCATGAGCCAAAAGCGCCGGTAACGAGCGTGAAGCAGCGCGGTCGCCTCGCGTCGCGATCGGGCATGCGCGCGCAGCGCTCCTGTGGCGCTGCACGATCTGACCCGGCTGATGCTGCCATCACGCCGGTGACGAACTGACCGAGATTCAGAAATGAATCTCGAACACTTCTACTTTATCTAACTCTATAATTTTCCTATTAAATACTGACTCATCAAAATCTGATCTTTTTTCCGTCTCTAGTGATTCGATCTCTAAGCTTTCTTCTATTCGACCGAGCCTTCCATCACACTCCCTCCCAACCTCAGCTGCAGTGTCGTCTAACTCTAACTTTTCTTCTACTCCCTCCGAATCCGCTAATCCGAAAATTTGAACTTCAGCCTGTGGTTGTTCTGGAGGCTCACCGAATGTTACTATTCTCGCTCTACATAAATAATTTTCATATCCTACTTCTTTCTTATCTTTAGTTATTTTCTTGACTACTAGCGTTATTACCCAATTTGGTTTATCATAGGTACCATCTAAATGGATTTCTCCTGTTTCTTTGTCAAAAACTTTCAATTTTTCATTGTCTAAATATATTCCTAATCCTGCATCAGCAAAACGTCTAAGAGATATTAGATTTTCAGCTACACCTTTAGCAACGACTACATTTGTTAGTTTAATTAACCTTTCTTTCGAAACATTAGACTGAAGGAAAAGATCTCCTTTCCCATCAATCCCTATATCCGCAGCTCTATTTTTATTTGCACTTCTTATGACTTCTCCGGGACATCTAGTAAAATCGCTTAAGACTAGACTTTTATTTATAATATGTTCTGTCGCACCCGAGTCAGCAATAAAAGTGAATACATTATCTTTATCTAGAGTATCTATT